GGCCACAAGCCGTCGCAGCGCGTCACCGGTGGCAATGCCTCTCACCCCTCCATGGGATTTCTGCAGCGCCGTGAGCCTTGCCAGCGCCATCGCCTGCAGCGCTTCCCCCGGCACCTCAGCACGGGCCACTTGGGTCGCGACCTTCGCAAACGCTTGCAAAGAGGCCTCCTTTTCCAGCAGCTGCCGGTAGTGCTCGGCAGTGGCGCCGCTCCGCCGTGCCGCGTCGCGCTGTCCGGAGCGCTGCGCCAACCTCCTCAGCCGACAAGGTCGTGGGAGCCTCCGGCTGGAAAGCGCGAACTTCCTCAGGAATAGCGCGCCGCGCTGCGAGCGGGCGCTTCATGTGGGTGATTTTTTGGTTTGCGGAAAAGGCACTGCGTTTGACAGACATATTAAAGATTTGCGGCTTTCTTTTCGGATCTTGGGAGTGTGCTCAGGAACGCGGTTGTTTTGCTCCTAGTATTGATGAGGTTCCTTTTGCAACGAAACGAAAGGCAGATGTGCGCGCAGAGTTTAAACCTGATGACCAGGGAGATCAACGCGGCAACGTTTGGGTGCTCCAAATCGGCGCGCAGTTCGGTCTGCGCCGATGTTGCTGGCTACGGTGATGCGTTGAGAGCGCCGTGCGGACCACAAAAAATCGCCGCCTCCTCGCGCCTTTCCCGGATCGTTCTTTTTCGGCACCTCCGGCGTTTCTTCGCCATCAAGAGCGCGTCTATCTTGAGTTGTTGCCCCAGCCGTTGCTGGTTGGTCGTCCTTGCGCTCGAGGTCGGCGAGCGTTGCCTTCCCGGAGGGGCGGCCAGGCAACGGAAAACGCGTAGCCGCGCCGTCACTGGCGGAACGCGGGCTGCGCACGCGCTGCGTTCGCAAGCTCGGCATCACGCATCCTTTGCCGGGCACACGGGAACCTGGTTTTTGTTGCCATACCTTTTCTTTTTCAGCAGGTACGTGGGTTCTTCCCCCCTCCAAGGATAAAACCCTTGAGGGGATATCCGGGCACACGGGTTCTTGGCGGCTGTGTTTTTGGCCCAGCTCCTCACAGGCACAAAGCTCGCCAATTCTGTCCCGGCGGTGCCCAGGACGCCGTGGGCAGACAGCTGCCGAGTGGTGGGGAAGTGGAGTCTGCGCAGAACACTGAACACTCCAGCCCGGGCAGGGCTTACTGGCCGCAAAGGCAAACTAGGCCGCAAAGGGGAGCAGGGCAAACCACCGAGCGATCAGAGCCGAATCGGGCTAATAGTTCCTGTTTGGGCACGTTCTCCTTGCGGGTGATACAGGAGCAGTTGGGGCAAAAACCGTCTCTAGTTTCCAGGTTTGCTCTTGCCGGGGGCCCTTCTCCATTGGGCGTGTGGTGGATGAGCTCAAGGAAAACCTGGAGAGCCCTACGCAAACAGCCTTTGAGGCAGTAGGGCACTGCCAAAGCAACGAGAAGGCGGCTCCCTTGTAGCGTCGGCAACTGCCTCGTTGCAAGTCATCTGTTTCCGCCCGGCCGGGCCCGGCTGCTGGATCAGCTGGCGTTTTCCAGAAGCTGTGCGTTGATGGACTGCACTTCGCTCCGAAAATACAGTGAGAGCATGTGGATTTGGAAGCAGCCATGACACTACCCAGTTCAAAAAATGGACACTTGTTCAAATTGATCAGGAAAGACTTGTGCAAAGCGTTGCTTTCCCCCCCCCCCTCCCTGTCCTTATCTCTGACTCGACTGCGCGCCAAAAAGAAAACAAAGCGGACTCGCGCACAGTCCCACCCAACCTGGTCACCAGCAGCAACCCATGGACACGCATTGTGACAGGCTCCGGCGCTCTGATGAAGCGAAGCGTCGTTTGACGGTGGCTGAGAGAATACAGCACATGCTCGCGAAAGTGGCCAACAAGGGGTGGCGGGGCCAACCGGCCACCCGCAGCAAGACGCTTGGGAAGCTTCAAGCAGGCAAGCAGGTCCGTCGGGGACACTGGCACAGCATCCGCCAAGGCAGCCCAATAGACCGCAGCCGCGATGACCAGCGGACGAAAGGCCACAATTTGGGCGCGACAGATTGCAGCTGGCGCAGGAAGGGCGCCCTGCTCAACCGTAGCCTCCCAGCGCCAGCCAGGTTTCTGGCCTTCGACCCCCAGGTGAGAGGAAGCAGACGTGCGTTCAGGAGCAGCAAATCGCCAGCTGCCGCCGCCTCACGCAACGCGGCCTGGCTGCGGTCACGACCAGCGGCATCGCAAGGGGGGCCAGGCCGCACCAGCTTCTACGGGCACGCACGCCTCCTCGCGTTTGACGCGCGCAACTTGGGCACGCACACGCAGCGAACCATCGCCGCAACGCAAATTGGTAGGCATCAAACACCTCAGCAACTGTTGGATCAAGGTGTGGGTGACCAGCCTGCGGAGTGTCTTGCCCGTCCGTCGCAATTCCACGCACGCCAAAAAACACCAACATCACACAGCGCCAGACTGTTGTGAGGAATGGTGCGCGCCAATACATCGTCCAGACAAAAAGATTGTCCAAGGGCGCGCCATGCAGGGGGGCAGGAGTGCGCCTCGCAACAGCAATCTCTGCTACAATCCCTGCCCCTTGCCCCAATGCCAACGAACGGCGACACAAAAGGGGGCTGGCTATGACAACACACCTGTCCACACTCGATGAACTTAACGAAAAGACGCACCATGCGCTGCACAGCCAGGAGCCGATGGCACGTAGGGCGACCAGCTGTCAAGATCTTTTTGGGGAGCACCGAGCTCGCTCATACTGTAAGTCCTCCTAATGCTTTCTTTGCTAGTTTCAAGTGTGGAATCATTGTAGAACTTGCAAAGCTAAAATGGGTTGCCGCTCCGAGCCTCAAGCAATGACAACCACAATCCCCCATCAAAATACACTAGGGGTTTATTCATCCGGCACAAAGCTCACCAATTAACAGCTGTTCGTGTTTCTTTTCTTTTTTAGTTTTAGGAATAGCAGGTGCCCGTTAAACTCTGTGAGTCTTTTCGGAAAGTGCACGCACGGCGTAGTGCATGCTGCTTGGATGGAGGGCACATGCTCGCTTGTTCGGGATGGCTTGCCAAGAATTAGAGGAAGAAAGTGGGGAAAAAGCACCTTCCAAGCTGGTGAGACAGTTGCCGGGAAGCAGCCATGTTGCACACAGACACACACACACACACACACACACACACACACACACACTCTCAGCGTTCTGGCTACGGCTGAAGTGACTGAGCGAGTGAAACTGCATCAGCAACAAGCCCCAGACGCGAAAAACACGCAAGCTTTCCTCACTCTGGGCAGTGCGCGGAGGCAGTGAAAAGGAGCTTGCTGCAGTGGAAAGCTGCTGGGAAGATTCATCAAAGCCCCCGAAGGAGACACAGGCCCAGTGCCAGCGCTAGTTGCTTTCGTGTTGCAAAGTCAGGCAACGTTCAAGCGCCTAGACAGTGATGGGGTTGGCAGACTGCGGAGAGCAGCACTTGGCTGTCAGCCACTAACAGCAGGAGCATTCGGCGGCTCCTTACAGGGTGCAAAGTGTTGTTCCACGAGGCAGAAAGCATGATTTGCGCATGCCCACACACAGGCACACACACGCACAGCACACACACACACACACAAGGTCGCAGCACCAATCCCATAAGCAACACAAATGTTGGCAGCCGGCGTGGGCGAGGGGAAGAACTCAGGCGGGACCTCCCAACTCGAAGGGCGTGGCATTTGGGAGTCGGGGCCATGTTTTCCCAGGAATTTGGCTTTCTAGAGGGAGTGCTCCCAGTTTTGCTTTTGGCAACGGGTGTCAGAGCAGTCAGTGCCTCCTGTTTTGCAAAACGCCAAGGAAACGCAGGCAAAAAAATGAGTTTGCCGAGCAGCGCGTCCCTATGGCAATAGTCTTTGCTGCTTTCTTCTTCAACAGTCATGGATTGTATTGTTTCTTTTATTACTATGATTACTTTTTGCTTCCTTGCTTCCTTGCTTCCTTGCTTCCTTGCTTCCTTGCTTCCTTGCTGCCTTGCTTCCTTGCTTCCTTGCTTCCTTGCTTCCTTGCTTCCTTGCTTCCTTGCTTCCTGGCTTCCTGGCTTCCTGGCTTCCTGGCTTCCTGGCTTCCTGGCTTCCTGGCTTCCTTGCTTCCTTGCTTCCTTGCTTCCTTGCTTCCTTGCTTCCTTGCTTCCTTGCTTCCTTGCTTCCTTGCTTCCTGCTTCCTTGCTTCCTGCTTCCTTGGCTTCCTGGCTTCTTCCTTGCTTCCTTGCTTCCTTGCTTCCTTGCTTCCTTGCTTCCTGGCTTCCTGGCTTCCTGGCTTCCTGGCTTCCTTGCTTCCTTGCTTCCTTGCTTCCTTGCTTCCTTGCTTCCTTGCTTCCTTGCTTCCTTGCTTCCTTGCTTCCTTGCTTCCTTGCTTCCTTGCTTCCTTTCCTTGCTTCCTTGCTTGTTGCTTCCTTGAATCCTTGAATCCTTGAATCCTTGAATCCTTGAATCCTTGAATCCTTGAATCCTGGCTTCCTGGCTTCCTGGCTTCCTGGCTTCCTGGCTTCCTGGCTTCCTGGCTTCCTGGCTTCCTGGCTTCCTGGCTTCCTGGCTTCCTGGCTTCCTGGCTTCCTGGCTTCCTGGCTTCCTGGCTTCCTGGCTTCCTGGCTTCCTGGCTTCCTGGCTTCCTGGCTTCCTGGCTTCCTTGCTTCCTTGCTTCCTTGCTTCCTGGCTTCCTGGCTTCCTGGCTTCCTAGCTTCCTGGCTTCCTGGCTTCCTGGCTTCCTGGCTTCCTCCTGGCTTCCTGGCTTCCTGGCTTCCTGGCTTCCTGGCTTCCTGGCTTCCTGGCTTCCTGGCTTCCTGGCTTCCTGGCTTCCTGGCTTCCTGGCTTCCTGGCTTCCTGGCTTCCTGGCTTCCTGGCTTCCTGGCTTCCTGGCTTCCTTGCTTCCTTGCTTCCTTCCTTTTGTTGGTCCGTCCCTCCATCCATCCGTCTGTCCGTTTGCTGTGCACACACGGCACGCCGGAGAAGCGCCGAGCGACGGGAGCCCGCAACAGCAGCTCGCACAGCTGCATGTCATCTCATTTGTACTGTTGGAAGCGTCCAAAACCCAAAGTAACCGACGCAAAAGCTCTACACTGCGCGTGCATTCCATTTTCCCTCCAGAAAGCCGCGCGCAATCCATCTTTGGGATACTTCTTGTCCATCTGTCTTCTGCTCAAGCCTGAGACCGCTTCACGGGCACAGCTAATGTCTACTAATGGAGTCTGGCAATGCTGTTGAGTGGCAGGTTGGCCCAAACCGCAGGACATTCAATTTGTTGTCGATGCCCATGATTACGAAGTGGCTTGCATCGTTCACCTGCATGCAAATGAGCTCAAATCTCAACCCGAAATCTGTACATCCTGGACTCGGCCTGGCAAAGCGACCCAGCTTTGAGCTTGTCATTGAAATAGCTTCTGTCCTCAGGACAGTGCCTTTCCCGGACGTAGTGGGTAAAAGACACTGTGCCTGTGTGTAGCAAAAGATGTACTCTTTCAGTGGCTGCTTGTAGGTTGACCTGGGCACACATTAGGCTGCCGGATTATTGAGCTGAAAAGCAAAACTCGCTCTAAGGCAGTTGCCAAACTTTGTGGTCAGCCATCTTTGCAGCATGATTTTCCGGCACAAATGACCATTGCTGAAAATCCTGGACGTGACTATTCCCCGTCACAAACACTTCACTGCAAGCACAACTGCACTGCTCCTCAGTCTGGAAAAAGTGAACAATCCGGTCCAGGTCTGACCATGACAGGTGCGGGCGTCGTTGAAAAAGCCTCTGGCTAAACAAACAAGGCAATCGTCATAAAGCAGGGCAAGAAAGCGAATGAATCAAGTTGTGCCATAGACATGCAAACTCTGGGAGCCACGCCTGAGGCACACAGTCTGCCACTTGCATGCCAAATTCAGCCACCACAGCCTTTGTTCTTAAAAATCAAGCACAACTAAAACGAGTTTTCGGAAAATGTGCGTGCAGTGTTCTTTGACAAAGTGAAAATAATAAACGGCCAGCTTCTCTGCGGCTCTGCATACCCGACCTTCGGGGGTCACAAGCCTTCCCTCCACCGAGGCACCCTCACATGGCCAGGGATCACAAAGCACAACGTTACATGTTAACCCATGGACGAAAACACAAACAGAGAGAAAGAGCAAGAAAAACCGAACAAGAAAGATCCAGAGACTGATAAAGATCCATTGAAAAGAGGGACAACACACGTGGAGGAGCATCTCATCCGCAGAGGCAGCGTAGAAGCAAACAGGAATGGGAGGAAGCTGTTTCAGGCAGCTGCTTGCTAGCCGGCCAGTTTAGCCTTCTTGTGATGCATGCCGAATTACAGCCCAGTTGTGCAACTTGCGCTCGGGGCCTAAATTGTGCTGGTGATACCTGCATTCTTAGATACGCCCCGACTCTTGAAACTGTGTGGAATGCTCTTGCGTTGCTCAATGTTGCGCGAGCATGCCCACAGTCGCAAGGTGGGCTCCAATTGTCCTGTTGGAAAATGCATCACACAATGTGTGGATGTGTGCCTCAGCGTGTCAACAATGCAGCTTGGCGGCACGTCAAACGTGGTGATGATCGGAACGGGGCTTTGTGCAACAAAGGGCCTCCAACATGCCGAACAATGCCCAGCACAAGCACGCTTGGCCGGTGCAACGCTCTGTAAGCCCCCTGCGTGAACCAGGCAAGCCAACGATCTTTGTACTCAGGCCTGCCAGGCAAGCTGAAATCAATCATCGATGTCACATTTATCTGAAAATGTAAGTGCCTGATCACACCCATGTCCAGAAGGACTTGCAAAAGCGTGTCCTGGCACCAAAGATGCTGCTCAATGCATGCTTCGCTGTACTGCGCTCTCCGCCTGCCAAGGAGCATCAAGCCCAAGGTGATAGATGGGATAGAGCTCGGACGGCACAAAGGCAGCCTCACATCTCCCAGCACAGTACCTCACAACACCTCCCAGCGCCTCCTAGGCTAACGCAGAAGTGCCTCGCAAGCCTCGCAAACCTCGCAAACCTCGCAAGCCTCGTTGCGCCCCGTCCTCCAAAAGCTGGGAGCCAAAGATCTGATCTCCGCATTCACCAGTCACCGTGATTCGGCTTTGGGGTCCCTCCCACAGCATTGTCACCTCCTGAACAGCAGCGTGCAAAGCAGTGCTCCTCGCAGCATGAGGTGCACTCTGGCTGTTGCCGCTCCTCCGAATCTGCCAATGTCTCAATGGCAATCGCTCCAGCCTTCTCCAGCGGCAAAAGCACATGCTCATGGAACCTCCAGGCTGTCGCACAAATAATCAGGAAAACAAGCATCAGCGGTTGCACTTGTGCTAATTGGCCAGCCCAAAGCGCTACAGCACATTTTTGGAGCTCAGGCTGCCACCATGGATACTCTGCTATGGAGTCCGCACTGCAGCGCACTATCAACCGATCCATTTCTTTCGCCGAGTCGATGAGCTGATGTGCCTCTGATGGACGCCATCCAGGGTGCAAGGCACGCAGCAGCGCGACGAGGAGTGATGTGGAGTCAATTCCTAAGCAAACTGACTCGGAGCCCAAAGTCACTCAACAACGACTCACAAAACCACCAAATAACAAGCTAAAGCATACCAAAACCATCCCAGAGCACCTCCACTCCACAAGACCTCCAACTTGCAGCACTTGGTGTCTGCCAACGAGAGCAACGATACTGCCCGCTCATCCATGACCTCAGTAGACCACAAATGACAGCGAAGCAAGAACGTCTCTCGCCAGGCACAACTAGATTGATCTGAGGTTCTGTTGATAAATCTTTGCAAAAGCTTGCCTGTTTCTGTGGCACAGGATCCAAAATGTGAAGGCGAAGACTGCAATCCTGGCAACTTCCCATTGAAAACCCTTCTTGCGCACTCTCGGACAGGGCTGCTTGCTTGTTGCTGTGCACATTGAAACTCTCAAAAAGAAGCATCCCTGCCTGGTTCAGAACACCGGTGCGGTCAATGAGCGGCGTTCGGAAGAAGGCTGACAAACCAACAAGAAAGTCTTCTTGGATCTGCTCTGGCAGCAGGGAAGCAGGTGGTCGAGCAAGCGATATCTCTTGCGCAAGGTAGCAAGCCAACAAAGGCGACCAAATGATCAATCCAGAGCCCAAGTCAGAGCTGGAAGCGTCAGTGCTGGGAGTTTCCTCCAAAACAGCGTCAATCTCTGCACTAATAGCATTGTCTCTGTGTCGCCATCTCTCGCCAACAGTGCCGCTCAGCTCATCCCGAATGTCTCCGGCTTTCGCTGAGCAGACCTCTCTCCAGTGATTCTGGCATTGATCACTTGTGCGCGTGATGCCCTGCCTGAGAAGATGCTCCTTCACTCCATCCCAACCCAAATGGCCAGCCAGCTTCACAGATGCCACCAGAGCTGCAGATTCTTCTGCTGTCCAAGAGCACTGGATCAACTGCACTGCTTCTACCATCCAAGGGTCGCTAATTCGCCGACACATTCGATTGGGATTTAGCTTTAAGAATGGAGTGCCGTCCTGAAGCCTTCGCACAGGCCCGGATGGCAAGGGCTGCACCATCTGCTTGTGAGGGCCGCAAACCAGTCGTCCACACATTAGGCATGTTGGATGAAGCCGGCGTTCGGATATCTGAAGCTGGGTAAATGATGGCCAAACACCAGAGCACCACATGATGTCCAAAATGTCTTGTAGCTGTTCATGCCCAAAGCAGCGCAGCCGTTGCACAATAGGACCTGGGCATGGCGAGTTGCCATTGTATCCTCATGGCCTCACGGCCTCCCAGGTTTGCCAACCAAACTTGGCGAGCCGGACATGATACGTTTGTATCTAGCAAACCTTGTGCATACAAGAAGAGTTGCAAACCCGGGCCAAGTCGCTATGCCGGTTCAAGTGCAAGTTCCTTTGCGAATCATTGTGCAGAACAACCAGGCTGCAAGGAAAGTCCATCACCTGCAAATCATCTGAACCTATCACACAAAACCATCACGGGGCGTTTCAAAGAGGGTCCTTTCGACAACGTGTGCTTGTTCTGGTTCCAGGAATGACCCAGCACTTTCCCTGTGATGTTCCATCACAGCTCTTGTTTTTCCCAAAAGGTCTTCGTCAAAGCGGCGGCCTTCAAAACAAATGTCAAATAACCCAACACTGAACCAAAGTAAAGTGCATGTAGCCAATTCACTGACTGAAGAGATCCTTGAAGAACTGGACAAGCAATAACCAATTAGAAGGAATCGAACACTGCAAAGATAAGAATCACAACAACGCCAAAAAACAAGGAAAGTGACTTACGGGTTTTGGGTCAACAACCGTCTGTGCTAAGCTTTGTTATGGACATGAATAAGATAACATGTACTATCCAAAAAAAAGAGTAAGATGGCATTGGAAGATAGGATACTGATAAGATGTAAGAAGGTGACAATAGTAGAAGTGACACATAATTGTTTTAACAACATGACATATAAAAGGGAACAAACATGAGATGTTTGGACGAAGTACCAATGACATTCTAAGTGTCATTCATCGTACAATGAAACTCCAAATAAATACCAGTGCGTTTCCAACCGATGTGATCCCAACTCTGCCATAGCAAAAGACATCATGTGATATGGTTCAAAAGAAGAAAAGCACACTCTTGCCCCTGGGGGGGGGGGGGCGGATATCCGCACTCGCAGAAGTCATTCTCTCTACACTCAGTTGCCAAAATGACTTCCCACGAGAGCCCAAGTAGTCTCCCCCTGAACACAAGGTAAGAGATGTGTGCATCGTCGCAATGGCATGCTGCAGCAGCCTGGCCGTTCTGGTCGAAAAACACTGACTCCAGAACGTCATGACAAACACCGGAAAAATGCTGCTTGATGAAGGACAAAAAGGCGGAGAGCTCGCAAACGCCTCACCACATAATCAAACTGTGGCACGGCTCAAAGGAGCAATAACAAGAAGCATCGCGGCTCGAACGCAAAGTGGAAATGACTTGGGCGCCAACGTTGCCGGCCTTGGCAGCATTGCTGCGTCCAAGTAGGCAGTAAGCGCGCCCACTGCATACATCCCGAATTTGCCTCTTGGGCTTTTGGGTGACACCGCTCCTGATGACTTCTATGTGTGCTTTGCAAACCCTCAAACTTGCTTGAGTTACAGGATTTGGCTGCAAATACAGAGCCCTGTCCAACTTTTTGGGTTCTAGATAAGTACATGTCAGCGACCACTCCTTGACGCGATTCCTCATAGGCAGCTAAATCCTTCGGAAATATCCAAAACCAAATTGCTCAGCAGCTCAACCTGCACAGCTGCAACTCCCAGGCACTCTTTTGAACACCATGTTCCATTAGTGCATATTGAAAAAGAAACCGCTGGGTTATCAACGGTACATGCCGTTGTTGATGCGGTCGATGAAGTATGCAGGGTTTGCCGGCAGGCACACCAGGTTGGCTTCATACTTCTTGACGGTGTTCTTGAACTTCTCCTCCATGCCTGGGATGCTGTAGATGTCAGAGACTGCCTTATAGGGGCCATGCGTGCCAATCAGGCCGGCAATTGTGGGGAACATGCCTGGGAACTGCCTGTAAGCCTGGATGTTGGCATTGTTGATGTCCACCTTGTCGCTGCCTCCCAGAAACTGGATGTTCTCGTACTCCACCATCGCATTTGCTGCCGGGACCATAGCAATGGTACTTGCCGCAGCCACGGAGGCGATCTGCTGCTTCCTGGAGTTCAGCCATCCAAGCAGCGCCCCAACTCCGAATCCAGCGCTCACGACGCCGAAAACGCTCTGGGACTGGCTCTGCTCCTCAAACTCCAGGGGCTCCAGCTGCACCTGAGCTGTTGGCCGTGCGCTCTCGGGGCCTGCTCCGGGTGTTGGGGACACGTAGGCGGCAACAGGAGCTGCCAAAAGCGCAGCTGCGAGCAACACGCGGGCCATGGCTTGCGTTACCAACAAGGACCGATCCTTGACAAAAAACTGCGCGGTCAAATTGAACCTATTCGCAAAGATGGAACTGAACTGTGTCTTCTTATCATCAGGCTGCGCATTTTCGCAAATATCTTGCATGCTGCACAAGCAACGCCACGCCAAATTCATGTGCTAGCGCCACCCACCCTATGCCCATTTTGCAGGCATCTGCTCACCGCACTCGCGTCAGGCCAGCATAGCCGCTCTCCAAGACTTAAAAAGCCTCAACGGTACATGCCGTTGTTGATGCGGTCGATGAAGTATGCAGGGTTTGCCGGCAGGCACACCAGGTTGGCTTCATACTTCTTGACGGTGTTCTTGAACTTCTCCTCCATGCCTGGGATGCTGTAGATGTCAGAGACTGCCTTATAGGGGCCATGCGTGCCAATCAGGCCGGCAATTGTGGGGAACATGCCCGGGAACTGCCTGTAAGCCTGGATGTTGGCATTGTTGATGTCCACCTTGTCGCTGCCTCCCAGAAACTGGATGTTCTCGTACTCCACCATCGCATTTGCTGCCGGGACCATAGCAATGGTACTTGCCGCAGCCACGGAGGCGATCTGCTGCTTCCTGGAGTTCAGCCATCCAAGCAGCGCCCCAACTCCGAATCCAGCGCTCACGACGCCGAAAACGCTCTGGGACTGGCTCTGCTCCTCAAACTCCAGGGGCTCCAGCTGCACCTGAGCTGTTGGCCGTGCGCTCTCGGGGCCTGCTCCGGGTGTTGGGGACACGTAGGCGGCAGCAGGAGCTGCCAAAAGCGCAGCTGCGAGCAACACGCGGGCCATGGCTAGGCGGAAGCCTCTCAAGTGCGAGAAATGCAAAGCGCGGCTGTGAGCAAAAATCTGTGGAGGAAGGGTGCAAAATAATGATATACGGTAAGGTACTTAAGTGGCCCTTGATTCTGACTCATGTTGCTGACTCCTTTGGGCAGTTTCGTGCCTCTCCAGAACGTACCGTACAAAAAGAGCTTTGTTTTAGCATCCTGAAAGTAGCATCATCTAAGTCTGATTGTGAAGAACACAGCATAGCTTTGTTTGATGTTCCTAAAACTCGAAAAACTGAAGGCCATGATGACCAGCGCGACTGCCACCGCAACTGCTCCCACTCAATCTGACTTCTGCTTTTTTATTGTCTACCAAGATTGAAAAATACGAACGCGCTAGCCGAAAGGCAAAACACGCTTCAACGGTACATGCCGTTGTTGATGCGGTCGATGAAGTATGCAGGGTTTGCCGGCAGGCACACCAGGTTGGCTTCATACTTCTTGACGGTGTTCTTGAACTTCTCCTCCATGCCTGGGATGCTGTAGATGTCAGAGACTGCCTTATAGGGGCCATGCGTGCCAATCAGGCCGGCAATTGTGGGGAACATGCCTGGGAACTGCCTGTAAGCCTGGATGTTGGCATTGTTGATGTCCACCTTGTCGCTGCCTCCCAGAAACTGGATGTTCTCGTACTCCACCATCGCATTTGCTGCCGGGACCATAGCAATGGTACTTGCCGCAGCCACGGAGGCGATCTGCTGCTTCCTGGAGTTCAGCCATCCAAGCAGCGCCCCAACTCCGAATCCAGCGCTCACGACGCCGAAAACGCTCTGGGACTGGCTCTGCTCCTCAAACTCCAGGGGCTCCAGCTGCACCTGAGCTGTTGGCCGTGCGCTCTCGGGGCCTGCTCCGGGTGTTGGGGACACGTAGGCGGCAGCAGGAGCTGCCAAAAGCGCAGCTGCGAGCAACACGCGGGCCATGGCTTGCGTTACCAACAAGGACCGATCCTTGACAAAAAACTGCGTGGTCAAATTAAACCTATTCGCAAGGTGGAACTGAACTGTATCGTCTTATCAGGCTGCACATTCTGGCAAATACCACGCATGCTGCACAAGCAACACCAAGCAAGCTCACATACCCACGGCACCCTGCTCTCGCAACTGACATGCCTATCTTGCAGCCATCTGCCAACCGCACTCGAGTCAGATTGGCCGTCTGTCAGGCTTAAAAAGCCTCAACGGTACATGCCGTTGTTGATGCGGTCGATGAAGTATGCAGGGTTTGCCGGCAGGCACACCAGGTTGGCTTCATACTTCTTGACGGTGTTCTTGAACTTCTCCTCCATGCCTGGGATGCTGTAGATGTCAGAGACTGCCTTATAGGGGCCATGCGTGCCAATCAGGCCGGCAATTGTGGGGAACATGCCCGGGAACTGCCTGTAAGCCTGGATGTTGGCATTGTTGATGTCCACCTTGTCGCTGCCTCCCAGAAACTGGATGTTCTCGTACTCCACCATCGCATTTGCTGCCGGGACCATAGCAATGGTACTTGCCGCAGCCACGGAGGCGATCTGCTGCTTCCTGGAGTTCAGCCATCCAAGCAGCGCCCCAACTCCGAATCCAGCGCTCACGACGCCGAAAACGCTCTGGGACTGGCTCTGCTCCTCAAACTCCAGGGGCTCCAGCTGCACCTGAGCTGTTGGCCGTGCGCTCTCGGGGCCTGCTCCGGGTGTTGGGGACACGTAGGCGGCAGCAGGAGCTGCCAAAAGCGCAGCTGCGAGCAACACGCGGGCCATGGCTTGCGTTACCAACAACGACCGATCCTCGACAAAAAATCTGAAGCCTGGTGCCAGTCACAAATTGTAATTTCTGTTATTTTGTGCAAGCACAAGGCAAGAATCGGCGAAGTGCGCGTGTTTAACTGCCTGCAGCATTGTCGTTGAACATGATTGAAAACTATGGTGCGGTGTAAGGCTGCTTTTGCAGCATGCAGAAAACTCTGTACCAATGCTTATAGGCACCAGAAAACAGTTAAATGTTACCGGCAAATCTCACTCAGAAAACTGCAGAATCACCATCAGAAGAACATGCTGCCTCGATTTGCAGCAGGATCAGCCTCGCTTAGATGTATCACTGCAGCTGTGCAGCTGTAGTCACGCGTGGGAGCTGCTGCCTGGCCGACCACAAAGGATCACGCATAATACTGTTCCAAGCCATGTCTGGCACACACAGAAGAAAGAGGCTGAAGGAGTGAGTGTCATCATGTGCGAAGAAACGGACAGGAAATTCGAGAGCGAAAAGGGGAGGTTTCAGACTGGTACTCGCAAATGTGTTTGGCAAGACACGCAGCTCTCCTCGCCCTTCGGCTTCTTTATCTTGCTCCGAATCGTTTGGGGAGGAGCCTGAGTCCTTGCGTAAAAAGCGACAAGAATGATACAGCGATGTGTCCAATAGTCGGCTCCTGCCCAGCTCGGTTTTGTAGAAGTCTCTCACCTTGCCATTCCTCAAAGCCGAAGCCATGGCAACACTCAGATTTGTGTCTCTGAGGCTCGGGGCGCGCCAAGCCGGACTGAGATGCGAGGAGGCACGCCTTTTGTTGCCAATTTGATGTTCTCCACCTGGCCCTCCAATTGCTGCGATTCTGAGTCGTCTGACGAAACACTGGCAGTCCAGCCTTCAGCCCTTTCCTGAGCGGTGTCAAGCTTGCCAAACACAACCCTACATGCAAGGTCCGTGCCAGGGAGGATCTGACATCACCACCACCCAGTCACCCACACCTGGCAAGAGACAAAAACTGTAAAAACAAATGCAAACATTAGCAAAAGCAGGCCAGCTCATGCTAAGACTCTCCCTGGCAGTCATCCTTGGATGTATATCATCTTCAAAAACGAACTTGAAACGACATCAGCTGAGCCATTGGCGCTCCAGGAATAGCAGGCCTAGCATACTTGTCTGTGCCGAGTCTGAAGCGTACGCGCTCTCCAACCAGCCAGGCAGTCCTTGCTGGGCTTGCAGGCTGAGCTTCCTTGCCGAGCACACACACACACACCACGCATGCACGCACGCACGCATTCACGCACGCACGCACGCACGCGTACAAATGCAAAAGCGAACAGAAGCACAGGAGATAGACAAATAGAGAGAAGGCAGGTAGACAGGTAGACAGATAGATAGATAAAGAGAGAGAGAGAAAGAAAGGGGAGAAAGAGTAAGATGGACAGACACACAGATAGAGGAAAAGGATAGCTAAAAGAAAGAAATAAGAGCAACAAAGAAAGACAATAATGAGAGAAAAGAAACAATGAAAGCAAAGAAGGAAAGACACGAGTAGACTAAGAAGGGCAAGAAAGAGAAGGAAACTATAGTTGCGGTATGTAAGAAACTTCCGCCCACCGGCTTCGCCGGTTCCACTGGTATGAGGGCTCTCTCTCTCTCTCTATCTATCTGCCTGTCCCTTCCTTCGTCCATCTATCTATCGTTCTCTGTGCCTCTCTCGCTGTCTTTCTCTGTCTTTCTCCATCTATCTAAATCTATATGTCTAAATCTGAAAATATCATATATATATCTATATGACTATCGGTCTGTCTATCTACCTGTCTATCCGCTTGTCGTCCATCTTGCTATCTACCCATCTGCTTAGTATCCATCTGTGTTGTCTGCCTACCTCTCCATCGGTCTCTCTATCCACCTATCTATCTATCTGTCTAGCTTCGTAGCTATCTATTTGTCTGTCTGTCTCCCTCCATATCTCTATCTGTCTGTCTATCTATTTAATCTGTCATCTTTGTGCTACTCAATCTCTTTCTGTCTGTCCGTCTATCTACCCATCTGTTGGCATATCTAGCTCATCTCCCTATCTGTTTAGCTTCTCTCTCTTTCAAGAGATCTATCCTACCTAGAAATCTAAGTGTCTAGCTTCCAGCTCATCTCTCCCTCCTATCTGAACTATCTATCCATGACCTTGCAAAAGCACTGCGCCTGCAACAAAATCTGAGCCTGACCTTGTGAAAGCGCTGCACCTGCCACGGTATCTTGCGAAAGCGCTGCGCCTGCCACGATATCTGCACCTGACCTTGTGAAAGTGCTGCGCCTGCCACCAAAAGCGCCGGGCCTGCCGCCTGCCGTACTAAAGTGGCAACAAGCGCGGGCGCCCGCCCCGTGGCGTCGCGATCAGGCTAACTTTTTCGAGCATCCCAAAGCTCCAAACCCCGGAGATGGGTTGCACTTTTCAGCATTTTTATCTATTGTGTTTTCTTTTATCATCCTATCCAGCCTAGCTGTCTTATCTTCTCATAAACATCTATCCATCCACTCATCCATCCACCCACCCACCCATCCATCCACGTACCTACTTACCTATCTTCCTACCCACCTACCCACCCACCTACCTGCCTGCCTACCTATCTTCTATTGACTTATATTGTTGATTTACTTATAGTTGCTTCTCTCTTTACACAAACAAAGAAGCGTACGAATCTCCATGGCTTCGTGTCAAGTGATTTAGGCCCCTCCTCCTATTCCGCGTCATGACTGGTGTGTCTTCACGGTTTACCGTTCAAAACAGCAGCCCCTCCAGTTTTTGACAACTTTGACACATGCCTGGATTGGGAAAAAAGTGTACCCTGATCCTTCTGATGGAACCCTGGTGTGATCTAGGTGAGAAATCACAATCCGAAGCAAACACAAGTCAAAGAAACAAATATGCACACCAAGCAGTGTCCTCCACCTCATCAACTTCAAAGCGGAGGTCCTGCAAGACTTTGGAGGCAAGCATCAGCTCTCAGCTCTCATGCTGCCCAAACCTCCAAGACATCGCCCACAATTTTCAGGCTTGTGCCCAGATGCTGCGCCTCCTGGCAAGGGCATTTACAACGTGTCGAACACTGCAACAGTGTTCGAGTCTGATTGCTTTGAAGTAGGGCTCGCTCCATCTTCAAGCGCCGAACCACATCCTGAAGTGGTGACAATCCCAGGCGCTAAGCCACACTAAGCCGCACTAATAATACCTCCAACCAAACATGTCAGGCCTCAAATTGTCTTTCCTGCACTTCCAAGCGCGCCTGTGCTGAAATGCTGTCATAATGGGCCCATGATTGATGAACCTGCAATGGGCCTGCCTTCAGATCAGCCTGCATCTGCCTTTGCTGGGCCTGTGCACGATCTTGCAGATCCGCCTGCGTGGCAGAGTATGGATCTGGTTAAAAGAAAACAAAGCTCGCTGCGTTGCGCTTGCGTTCAAGCCTCCTGTAGGGCAACCTCATGCTCGCGACTTGCCAGCGCAGACACCTTTGCCACAGAGCTTCCAAAACACGCAGTCGGTATGAGCTCTGACCTTGTGCTCTGCTTCTGCTATTGCCTTGCTGGCCGCAGCCTGGCAAATGACAAAGCATTCAGCAAGCCCTGCATCAGTCAAGTAGAATCTGCCTCTCGCTGTTCAGCTTCCAGGCGAGCAGCAACGAAGTCCTGATGACAGTGTGCACTGTCAAGTCACAGTCTAAAAAAAATATACGGCACTCTTGTTCGTCCTGCTCTGCTGCCGACGCCTGTCATGAAACAAGTTGGCCCTTTGGGCTCGCCGTGAGTCTCCGAAAATATAAGTTTTCACCTCCAAACCTTCGGTGCATCAAAGGTCCAAGTGTCTGAACAATGGAGCAACATGAAGCATCAACTCGTAGGATGCCTCACGCTGAAGTGCCAGAAGTTGCCGCTGGTCCTCGCTCAGCAACTGCTCAGCCCTCTTCACCTGTGGGTCATGGATCGGCGCTTCTCTGCTCAAACAGAAAGAAACCAAAACGAAACATAAGACCCGGACGATGGTATGCGGCAGCCCCAAGCGTGCAGCTGTTTCAATCGCATGGGACTCACCCACCTTGGAATCGACTTTGTCGCTCCTGAGCCTTCTGGGATTGCAAAGCAATAGGCTGCGGGCAGCATTCCTTGTAAGGCGATAGGTTGGACGGCCACCCTTGTACCTGCCGGTGCATGCATGTCTCTGCCACTGAACATGCGTCATACGTGCAAACAACATTCACCCAGCATTAGATGAAACAATGTCGCTTTGGTCACTCCATCGCAGCTGTCAAGGTACGGTCATCCTGCGCATGGCACCAAGCTGAAAATTGCAACACCCCACCCATACAAGTACTGAAAGACTGTCAATCCATGCAATATTGCTCTGCACCCTCTTTCTTGCTTGTGTAGTCCCCAGTCGAGTCTGCTGGCATTCAAGCACGCCATTTTGCCAGAACACTTTGGATCTGTTGGCGGACAATTGCCATCCTGCAGCTGGTTCACACTCTGAATCAATCACTCCATCAGTGGCTGATAAGTGAGCTCGACGCTCAAAAACCCTCGCGGCTTGTTCCTTTGGAACAGGCGCACGCATAGGCAGTTATGCTCATCGCCACCTGTCAAGATCCTTGGATTGTGTGCAATGCGTCATAGATGTTGCGATCGCACGAAGAAAGCGCGTAAAAAGAAGAGAACATCCACCCAGGAAAAGCATATCACGAGCAGGAGCAGCGCCGACCACGTTTTGCAAGATGCAATCGCACGCATTGCACAAAGGAGGTGCATAATGCAGCCAAGTGTCAAATCATCAAATGCGGTGTTTGTCGCGGGAGGGGGCTGGGAGCCACTTCCCCGTTTGACTATTTGGCATAGTGGAATGTCCTTATTGAGCTCACAGGTTCGACCGTTTCACACATGCATAAGGCTTTGAGATCAGAGCGCATTGGCCAATATGGTCATCCTGGCTCTCTTTGAATGCACTATGTTCATCGGCATTGCTGCTCAATGGTGGGACCAAGCTTGCCAAGGTCCTCTGTGAAAGTGTCTGCATCCCAAACGCGTAATCGAAGAACATCTCTGCGAGGATTGAAAACATTGAGCATCAAAGTCTCATCCTGTAGACATCTCAAGCTAGGTGATGCAAACACGTGTTTGCGTGCACTGCCAGGCAAAAAGAGCATCATTGTAACTCAGGACGACTCCCATACTGGATCTGCACAATTCTTAATGCTCTTCGTGCGCATTTGTTGGCGTCCACCAATCAATTCCTCGATGACCACTGACGCGGCTTCGGGATGACGATGCACTCCAATGAAAAGCTGTGCATTCATGAAGTTCGCTATGCACTCATTCAGATTAACAAATCCAAGGCTCGGCAACCACGTACGGGTCGCTCTCAGACGTGACATCCAAACAAATCAACTCGCGAGCCTTACCCCGAGCATGCAATGGCCTCCAGCTCTGTGCAGCCACAGAGCTAAAATTTATCCAAGATGCTGATTTCACTTTCACCATGAGAACCCCGCCTCAGAGAAACCCAGGCTGAGCTATGCCGAGGCTTGAGGTGCTATGGTTCCAAATGCACTAGTGAATCAGGTTGCTAAATTGAACTGATGCCACCGTCGCTTGTGATCGCGTTGGGCCAGTCCTAAGCAGGGCACATGCCCGCCACACGCACCCTTTGACTATCTTGCTGTATTTCAACGCCTGGTTGCCCAGCAACAGAATGTTTGAATTGCAAGCATGCTGAATTGCAGGCTGATGCAGTTGAGTATCTCCAGCAACTTGCCACTGCCTCCCTGAATGAAAGCCTTCTCCTGGTACTTTGACCCTTACGTTCGAGTTGCAAGAAGCAAAAAGCATTGACAAGTGCTGCACACCAGATTTTGCCAAGCATCTCACAAAGGTGTCCAGACCCTTCACAAACTCAGCCTGGGCTCACCGGCCTTCTGCTTGTATTTTGCCGTTTCTGAACCCATGCTGGGACACGTCCCATTCTTGATCGTGATTTGTCCACAACAAAGTTTGTCTTCGCAGCCTTCTTCCGCTCCGAGTCTCGTCTTTGTGCTCTATTTCTTGTCGCCCCCAGCTGTCTTCGCCCCCATACTTCGCTTCGTGAATTGAGTCTCCAAATTTTCGTCTGCCCAGCCTATTTACTCTTCACCCCCTGCTTCCACTTCAAGAATTTCATCTTTACTGCCTTTTTTCGTATTTGTTCCCTGTTTCTTGCTTGGGAAGTTGTCTCCGAATTTTGTCTTCGCATCCGATATCCTCTTCGCCCTCGTCCACTTTACTTAAATGATGGTTTCGTTTCTGGATTCCAATACCTTATCACTTGTAAATTATAACAGTGTTCAGGCCATCGTATCTGTCAATGATTAGTGTGGTACCCACGCCTCTCTGGTTGGCTCTTTGGCTGGCCACTTTGATGCTTTAAATCCTAGACATATATTCCTTGTCTCATACACAACAAGGGGGCAGGCAGACAAAGAGCATACTTCTCGGTGTCCTCGCATGGCTTCGTGTAGCCTTCTGGTAAAGTATGTTCCAGCTCTTCATTCACCTTTGCAGAAAAGAAGAAGCCACAAGATGTTGAGGCGTCGGAAGACTCGGGAAAAAGAAACACTGCACAGAACAAGCTACTGCATAGAGCAAGCTAGAGCTAAGGCAACTCTGTGCAGCGCAAGGCTCTATCTTGTTCCCTGTCCTGAGCATCAGCTCCTCGGCGCAAGCGATCAAACTTGTTCAATGGCCAATATTTGCGTTTAAGGAATTTGCAACATGCAATTAATCATTTGCAACCACAACACGTAGTCTGCGCAATCCCATTTGTCCAAGGTCAGTGACAGCACCCGGCTGATGTGCGTGCCAAGACTGCGATGCCGTCCTGCTCAGTGCTGCCACAGCCAACCCAAACCCATGCCGCTAGACAACCAAGGTCAAGTTAGAAGCGACGGGATCAGCAACCGCTCCTGCTGCGTGCGAACATAAGACTATTCCAAATGTCACTGATGCCCAGGCTGGCTTAGGACCATTGGCATGAACGCAGTCAGCACCTCAGCAAATATGGCTTGCTCATGTAGTACCTCACAAGCTGCAAGCTGCTACTTCATCAACTAAGCAGTACACACGAATCGTTTCCAGGCACCGCCAGAATCATCTGCACCTTCACGCTCCGGCAGGCGAAACTATCAGCCAACGCATGTTGTATTCCTTACAAGCCTCATCATCCACCAACAGTCGCGGCCAATTGCTTTGCAATTCCCCAACTTCCTGCAACCTTGGCACAAGGAGATACCAAGAACAAGATGCGCAGTGTTCGTGTAACTCCAACAAATCCGACAACTAAGATCAGTGCTGAACCTCTGAATGCTCCATGGCCATTCACAGCTACAGCGCATCACATTGTTGCACTAAAACTAGGACGGCATGGAAGGCGTGCGTTGACACTGTCCCTGCTTTTGGCTTTCGTGCTATCTTATCTTCAGCGCGAGCCGAATCTTGCGAACACTGCATAGACCTTGACTGGGCATGTGGCTGAAGTGGGTACTACAAGCACAATCACTCCCACTGATGCCACGTCTTGATCAGGTTCCACCCAGTCACAGTCCTGAGTCGCCCAATCCTTCAGCTGGTTGCTGTGCCTGAGCAAGCACAAAATGCATGGGAAAGCTATCCAATGCAGGGCCAGGACGTAGTTGTGACCACTCTGGCTTGCATTTCGAGGAAGCCCTTTGGCAGGCAAAGCACAACTCTTTTTGGAGCAGAGGTTAAATACTGAATAAAATGACTGATGTGCCTGCCTCTAGCATTGCCCGTGCAAGGGCTGCCCCTTGCTGCGGATCGGTTCCTGTTGCAGCCTCAATGCAGGAGCCATCCCCGAGGACTGCTGTTCGAGTTGCTGTAATCGACCGACCCGATCCTGCCTCATCAACTAGAATAAGTGCTCGCCGACCCACACCTTTTGCGGTGTTCAGCATGATGCGCGACCTTGCAGGTCATGCTTTCTCCCAACTCAAATCTTACGCCGACAAAAACGGTCAGGTCGGTCGATTGGGTCGGCCGCTATCCTGAATGTCTCACCTCTGAGGTGCGTGCGCAACCAAATGTGCAGAGTATGTGGACAAGTCATCCACCTTGGATTGGATGCCATAGTGTACCCGATGGAGCCGTTTGGGGATTGTGCTGTGCAGGCCATAAGTCTGCCACAATTGTCTGCATGTCTCCCACATCCGCGAGAACCACCTTCGGGCTGTGCGGAAAGCAAAAGCAAATTCCTCTCTCACGCACAAAGAGGCAAAGAGGCAAAGAGAGAGAGAGAGAGAGTTGCAATTCAGAAACTCTTAAGCCTCGAAGAAGTCAACTCTCGGCGCTTCTCCACCAGGTATTGGTATGCCACACCGCGCCTGAAATTAAGCCCTTACTGGGAACATCCGTGCCGTGTAACTCACTTTGTCTAGGACGCGCACCAAAAGCGCCAGCAGCCCAATAGTTTTGAGGACCACGGTTTTCCCACCAGCATTGGGGCCAGTGAGAAGCAGGCCGCAGTTCGACTCTCCCAACCTCAATTGTCAACGGCGACTCTTTCAACTTCAACAGTACCAGGGGAAGTGTAAGCCGACAGCCCTGATGCCATGCAACAAACAGCCCAATTGCCAACCCTGCATCAAAAGCAAATCCTGTGCTGACAAGCGTAAGGTCCCTGGAGTCTTGTGTCAGACTGAGGCAGCAACTCCAGCCGATATCCAACCACCTGTCAAAAAAATGAAACAACATGTCCTGTACTGCAAATAGGCATTTGTAAACTGAAAGGCAGCATGCGCCTTGCCACCGCGAAGGACAAGACATGGGTTTCGAGCCTTCCAGCTTCAAGACTTGCGACAGAAACGTGTGCTGCCGTGGTGCCATGGTGCCGTGGTGCCTGTCGGACCTCAATGATACCCTCATCCTCCACCCTCGGCACCTGCGCTTTGACCGAAGTAGCAGTCGTCACTACAGTATCTCCCAGCCTCGCCCTCCATGTCCTCGCCAAGAAACAAGCGAGCGCGAGCTAAGTCAATGCGAGCTGCAGCCTGCCATGAAGGTCAATGAAAAGGCTGCAGCGCAGAACAGTCTTAGGTCCGCTGCGGCATTGCCTCCAAGCATCTCTTTATGTCTTCCGCAGCATTGCCAATAGCCAGCGACATGTTCCTGGCGATTTCGACTTGCCCAATGTGGCAAGTTGCCACCAATGCGCATCAACAGCGGAGCTCCCCAAGATGCGGCGAACCATCACCTTCAGCTCCTGACGCCAAAATCTCTCTTTGACTTTACTTGTTCACCAGAAACCCGTTTGAGGTCTGGTTTGCGCACCTTCTCAGATTGAACAAGTCCATCTGCGTATTCGATGACCTCGGAGGGCTCCACGTAGGCAGTGCCTCAACAAACCCAAGTCAGTTGGTGCCAGACTCGAAACACACTCTGTCTCATTCAAACTCCGATCTGGTCGATTTGCTTGCTCGACAAATCTTGCAACAAGTCATCATAATCCTGTCTCTATCCGTTCAATTTGTTGCATTCTGGCTGGAGTGCAAACGAGATTGTTTTCTGTGTGCAGCATCTTGACAGTGCTGCGCATGCTGCGCATGCTGCGCATGCTGCGCATGCTGCGCATGCTGTGCGTCCTGTACAAACGCAACCTTTGTGCCTTCTGCTATGAGCGAACGCAAGACCGAATTGGTCACTTTGGTGCGCCAGGCAATGCGTATTAGCTGCAACGAAGCGGCTCTGTCAAGAGGAGATGTTTTGAGTTGCCGGGAAATTTCCTCCAGCGGCAACGAGCTTAAATCATTGGCAAACAGCTGAAAAAGCGCGAGTGCCACGCGAAACATCACCTTGGGTGTGCCATCCAGAAGCCACGCCTCCCAAATTCGGCTCAGCTCTTGACGCGGCAGCCAATGCAAGCAGCAAAAGAAAGTTTGTAGCCAGGGCAACACAAGAAGCTGGCAACCAACGCATTCATCTGCCAAGTGTTCAGCAACATGCGGCAATTCACATTCCACTAACTTCCAGAATGCGTAGGCTGCAGCACGCAAGCCGACCAGTGGCGGCTCAAACCAATCACGAACTCCGAGATCCAGCAAACTGCAAAGAAACTGAAAAACAGAGGGCTCCAAGTGACACTTGTCCATTAAAGCCTCCTCGGCAACTGAGAGAGCGAAGGCACAAGCAACATCCAAACCTTGACAATAGCCCACGGATGGACGCGCTGCAGCCAAGGCAACCAGAATGCGGAAGAGAACATCAACCCTTTCCGCTGCCTGCAAGCGTGGGACAACATCAGGCAACAAAGCAGGATGATCCGAGGAGAGGGTTCTGGGCACATCAGCCAGTATGACCGCTCGCGCTTCAGCAAACCTGGATTGTTTCAAGCCCTGCTGCAGCCTCTCCTCAAAACTCTCCTGAGGTGCTTGGATCTGCGAATGCCTCCGCAAAAGTTGTTGCCAATGCGCCCAGCGGCTAACACGCCCAACTGGCAGCCCAAAGCGCACTAGCCATTTCTGAAGCCCTTCCGCCTCCTTGCCTGACAGTGTCTGCAGCCATGTAGGTGTCACTTGACGGCATCTGGAGAGCAAGGCTAGATCGCCACTGAACGCCAGTATACACCTTAAACACGAGGTCCACCTCACACTTTCCGAGCGCGTCTCCACAGCCTGTGGCTCTGGATCTGTCTTTGCAGGACCTCCGAGAGATGTGCAAGCTCGCTATACAAACATGTGCAGGCACTCGCAGTCCATCCAATCGCACTCTGATTAAATAAGCTGCACAGAAAGCATGAACCTAATGCATAAATCATACATCCAAGCTGCAAACATCGATGTAACACGCGCCAGTCTTAGCTAGAGAAAGAGTTGGAGCTCCTGAGCGCAGCTGAATTTTGGCTACACACCCGGAACATCACTGCAAAGCTGTCCTTGTGTGATGGACGAACAAAGAGCCTCAGCGGGTCAGCCCGATTCTAGACCTCTGATGTGTTTCAATACCCTGGCTCACACATCCAAAGCCGTCCGAAGCTCAAAGCATTCAAGCAGCTGCTACTCGCTTGATCAAGGCTCGCAAAGCTCTGGGAGATGACGCTTGCCAAACTTCGACCTGTTCAGAGCGTGACTTGAACATTTACAGTGGCATGGATGCCGTCTTGCATGATGCCCAAAAAGCATGAAAATGCAAACACCAAGCCTTCGACGCATTCTCCCAGGAGCCATGCAAGGAGTGAGAAAAAAGCTCCATCTCGGCAGTCTTGCAGCACGCCCATATGATGGGACATGCGCCAGCAGCGCAAAACTCTTCTAGTGTTGCTGCCGCATCCGCCGTTGATGCCCGCAAACTTGCTGTTGCGGCTGCATTCCTTTCGAACCATCTATCTGTCACTGCCTCTGCCACCACCAGCAGAATGGCAGACGCACCCCTGAGCCATGCTGGTGCTTCATTGCCAAATAAGTGCTCCAGGCTTGGCTGTGATTGTCCTATCAAGGCTTCCATCCATTGAGAGGAGAGTTGTTCCGGAGCAACCGCGAGTGGGCCTCCATCCGAACCCATTCCAAACAAAACACAAACCGTGGCATCCTCAGCAAACATCGTCAATGAAGCCTCCAGGGCATGAACAACACTGCACATCCCTTCTGGAGGTTCGCTGGCAGCGCGTCCAGATAGAAGGAGCCGCATACGCTCCTGAACATCCTCCTCTACCTCTTGTTCGAGCAAAGCTGGCGGTCGTGCGAATAAGGAACTTTGACCAAATAGTGACCGCCTCGACGTAATGTGCCTGTGCCTCACCTCGGAAGCGACAGCTTCTTTCAAATCCTTGATGGAGCACAAAGGCCTGCCCATACGCAGGTCACTGTCCACCAGTACCAAAAGCCGCCCCATGCCAAGTGCGCAAGGCTGTCATTGAACCCGCGCTCTACAGTGCTCTACCTGGGGGGATCTCGCTTGCCAACATGAGCCATGCTGACAAATGCACCATTCTCCGCCACACGGCGGTGCCAACAGAATATGCTCCATCTCGCAAAATCAGCTGCACAGACATGTTCTAAGATTTCCACGGCCACTCCTCGACTCGTCAAACATCCTGCCAACCTTGATGCCGGTACATAAGCTGTCTTGCTTTACTCAAGAAAGAATCAGGCAAGCATGTCAGCGAAGTTCAACTGACACAAATCAGCCTTCTTGACCCCATCTCAGTTCGGGACTTTGTTCTTGTGCTTTGGCTTTACTGACACCACGTAGTGCCTTAGCTGCTGCAAGGCACACGTAATCTACTCCAACGCATGAAGGACAGCAGCTAGCTATCTTCCCTTACCAGCTTGGAAACACGAAATCTAAATTCCAGATGCGTCAACCAAGCACATTGCATATGATGCACATGTGCCCCCATGACGGTCTAAGCCCAACACCCTCCAAATTGCATGTACCCGTCATCAGTCAGGTAACGAGCATACCTCCGTCTACTGTTGCTGCCGAAAGAGTCGTTGCATGTTGTCACAATGTTCTTGGCACACATCTCCAGCCATGTCGTCAATGTCAGCTCTGATTTTTTCCGCCTGTATCTCTGTACGTCGTTGTCTGCATGCGGCACATTGGCATGCTGGTCGATCGCGCCCTATTTACAGCCTCCATTTTGGAAGAAGTAGCTTTAGTGGCTGAATCTCTCAGAAGATCAGCACCTTCAAAGAGGTCATTCGCACACAGCGGGCTTGATAGCTGTAGTGGAGGTGACAGCGGGACAAGAATGCACCGTTGGATGAATGCTGGCAATGCGTTGCAAAACCGAGCACTATAACAGAGTAGCAAGGGTCTCCATGAGCAAATGTTGCGACGTAGCGCCAAAAAGCGGTCGACATAAGCGCAAACTGTGTACAGTAAACAAGGACTGCCACCTGGGATTGCTGGAGTCACGCGCTTCATGATACAACCGCTGTGCCACAGGTAAATGTTTGCTGGAACCTGGATAACACCCGTAGGCTCAACCTCATTCTCACAATGTTTGCTATGTGTGTGCGTGTGTGTAACCCTTTCTATCATTCGGAACACCACATTTGAGATGTTGTTGGAATACAACTCGCAGGAAACCAGTATGTTGCTCGCATGCAAATACAACACAATAGCGAGCACTGCTTGCGTTGCAATAGTTGAGAGGGACATTTGGACAGCAACTACGTGAAGTGCGCCACGTATACGGTGGTGAAGCAGCCCGTTACTTCCTTTTGGACTCCACTATCACATGTTTGCTTCGAAGCCTAGTTCTCTTTCTCACATTGTTGGTTTCCATGCGTCCAAAAATCAGGCACACCCCAAACAAGTTTGATGCACAGAACGTCAAAGACACTAGTGACAACCCCTCTGTCGCTTTTGGTGCACGTCTAAGCATTCTCTCTGCGTAACGCCCTACAGCCTGCCATGACAATAAAGGCTCATCTGGTTGATTTGGCGTCTCAAAAGACAAGCTACACTGGGTGACAGGGCATGACGAGGCAGAAGGTCCTTGTAGATAAGATTCTCAACAGCTAAGCAAATGTTGCACAAACCAGTTTTACGTAGAAGTGACCCAAAACCAGGCCTCAGCTCATGAGGACACTGACTGCATTTTCTTTCCTGAGCTCAGGCAAACAAGGCACCGAAGTGACAAAGTGGGATCATCCCAGCATTCAACACTTAGGTTCCGGCGATATCGGTGAATCACTGCTCGCGGCGAGGTGTCCTCGTTTGGATCTATGTATCCAGGCTCCCAAGCCTTTCACATTGCCTAGACCTTCCATTCAAAACCATCAAAACCACTCAGAACCCAAGCCAGTTGTCTCAAGCAACGCTCACCGCCTCGGCATCATCGTTGGACACCTGTTCTAACACTGCAATCTTCAGATCAAGGCAGCGCGACGAGCCTGGATAAGACTTGTGGCACTCTTTTTAGTCTTGTTCTTGCCGAGGGAGCTATCCTGATCCAAAGAAGCAAAATTGTCTTGGCAAGCAAACCATCTAGACTGACAAGCCATGTGGCCATGTGTGCTGGGCTCTCCCAAAGAA